ATTTTGAATTCTTTTTTGCGACATTCAATGTTTCTAAATTTCAGTTTCTTAGATTTCGTGGTTCTTGAACTGAATGATGCGGCAGAGTCCATACACACAAATACAGGCCATTCTGCATTCTTGATCCACGCAAAAAGCAATTTCGATTTGTGACTTTGTTGATGAGTTTGTGCAAAAAATTATGGCAAGCTACCTGAGTTTGAGTAGCTAGGTGAGAAATTTTACAAAATTGATGGCATGAATGTTGATTCGAGGTTATTATACGAAAACAAAATGGAATGTTTGAGCTTCGATGGTTCCAGAGGCCACAGAACTTTGGAAACATTTCAAAAAATTGATTTTCTAGCCTCAACTATCTTCGCGAAATGAATATCGCGTTCATCATGTAAACTCATTCCGACTGAAGAAGTGTGGAACTTATTCTATTGCATAGTTTGGAACACTCGGAATCAGCCAAGTAATAATCTAGTAAAAAAATAGGCACTCTGCTTTTTCAAGAATTTTACTATGAAATTTTCTCCCTGCATATATATATTTTAATAATTATGCTGTATTTGTAATAAGGCAAAATTTTTGTCGATCTGAAGCACTCAGACCTACTTCGTCTAACAGTTTGAGAAATTCTGCTAGCATATGGTAGGCAAGTCTAGGAAAGATTTTACCAACTGGATATTTCCGTGATCAGTGATGTCTCAAGATCCATAACAACAAAAGCCTATTTATGAATATTCTGTGAATCACAAAACTAAATATTAGGATTTGAAATGAAATTATTCCATAGCATACATTCATGATTGCGGAGAGGTAAAGAAAATAGCACTGATAGTGGTAATAACAATAATAATAGTGATAATAACAAAAATAATAATAATAGTCAATTCGAACGCTTAGCAGCGTTGTTTTTTACGCTGTCACTCAGGTGTAAGTGTACCTTTACACTTAAATGTTGCCGCAACAAGATAGAACCATTTTTGGGCAATAAAAGCTGTGAGCAAATCGAATTTCCGAAAAAATATCATTAAAGCGGTGCTCATGAAAGAATTAACCTCCACCCAGATGTCCGTTATCAGTAATTCATTTCCGAATAGCAGTCGTTGTTCAAAAAGAACTTTCTGATCAAGACCTGTAACTTTTGCCGGCATTAACTAACGAACCACGTAAAAAATTATGTGTTTTTCGGATCTCAAGCAACATAAGGCTAGTACAGTTCATTTTAATTTTTCGAAAAAAAGATTAACGACGGATTTAGTCATTTTCACAAACGTGTTATTTTGACAAATAACGAAATTTTTGTTTTCTTCTATTGAGGCATTTGTTTTTGTGACGGAATTTTTTCCCATCAGTAAGGCCACAACGGCTGTTCGAGCTATTGGACCGAGCAATTACATGCCTAGCGCAATTATTTTACGCTCTCCCATCCTAAGCAATTCAATGGACTAGCCAAAACTATTACAATCAGAAACTGTGAATTTTATACACCGGCCGGCTGATCCCCTGTTTCTCAAAGTACCACACATCGATATACCGCATTCATTGCCCATCAGTAAAGCAAAAAGGACATTTATCCCAGCAAACTTTACTTCTCTTGTCTGTGGTTAGATTGTGCTTATAAACCCAAACCGAAACCGGCAGTTGCGAATATTGGCCCGTTGTGTAGAAAAACAAGGCTAAAACGCCTCGTCAAATGAAAACAATGAAAAAAAATTGACGGGGCTTTTCAGCTCTCTTTTTTGTGCATTTTTTGCATGTTGCACAAATGAACGCGGCAACTGCCGATGCTATTTCGATGTGTGCACATGTGTCTGCATAAATCCATGCTAAAATTGCAGAAGCGGGAAAACTCAAACTTTAGAAGCATCCCCAAGCCGTTTGCAAGATCAACACGCATAAAAACAACATAAATTTTTGTTCTGTGCCCCAACTTTATGTTTAAATTTGGGCCAACCCCGTGACTCAAGAACCACAAGATTCTACGGAGTGGAAACTTCTTTTTACAGTAATTCCGGAGCAAACGATCTAAGATTAGCTTTCAAACCCTATTGCATTCTGCCCGTAATTTCAGATCCAAGTTCGTAACGTAGTAAGCTAGAAATAAAAAATGTTCGGACTGTTATTTATCCTGTATCGCAGAATTAATCAGCTTTCATAACTAACAGTTTCCCGACGCAAGGCCGGGTGTCCAAATACAGATCGACCGTAATTTCATGCTCTATCAATTAGTAACAAATAAAAGCAAGTGTTGGACGTACTGACACTTTTACAACTGGATACTCACAAAAGCTTATTTCAAAACTGCATAACTGCGCAAGCTCCTTAGACGTAGTTCTAGTTATATATTTAAGGATCAATCTAAGTAATTCGTCACAATTTAGACTATGCTTCCTTCTTTCATGCTAGATATGCAAACAACTCGTCCCAGCATCCAATAAAATTTACAAAAATTAAGCAACACATGCTTCATGGTGCAATTAAAAGTAGCATGCTGTCGCATAAAGGGTTAAGAGTTCAACTTCGTAACCTGGGGCAGTCAATCCCTGTACAATTCGTTCATTCATTTCGATGGTAAATTGGTACTACCATATGCCAGGGAGTCAAATCAGCCATCTGCTTGCTTGTATGTGGTTCTTAACAGATGGAGCAGTTGTCAGCCCTGTCAGCGATGGTTGCTTCTGGCACCTGCTACCACTCAAGCTATTTCTGGAGTGCCTACGGAGGAAGTATTAACTTTACGGAGTCAACTTTTGACTTGCTTCATATTGTACATATATCTTATAAATTTGAAAAAAAATTTAGGGTGATTAATTGTTGGTGACTTTTTAATCCATCAGTGTAGTTCGTCGGCAAACGTGACTATCACAAGAAAGCTGTGTTGCTATTCAAAGCATGTTCTTTGATGTCTTCAGCAGTGAGCTCAGAAAAGCAAAAATGCTGGCACTCGCAAGAATGGCAGTACTTGCTCGACGCACGGTGCTGTTTTTTGCAGCTTGCAAATGCGCGTGCTCACGTTAGCCCCAACATGAGCACAGTTTTATAGCTACACTTTCATGTACATTTCTCCTCTCACAAATTTCTTGTTTCCTCACAAGCTCTCCTACGTTCCTAGGTCAATTGTTTCTAGATGAGTTATTCCAAGTTGATTGTTATTGGATAACTTTCGAGATATAACTGGGTCTTCCAATAAATCAACAGGCAAAAAAATATCGCACCGGT